TCACGATTGGCTGAATGAACGAGCTATTCTTGCGGCCAAGAACAAAGACGTCTACGACCTTAACAATATTATTCAGTCTAACATACAAAGCTAGGCAGTCACATACAAGTCCGTCGACACTGTTGAGGAAGCACATGAAGCAGTTAATTATCCAACAGAATTTTTGAATTTACTCGATCTGCGAGGGATACCACCACACATAAGGCAACTGAAGATCGGCTTGCCAATGATCATGTTGCGAAATATATACCAGCCAAAACTTTGCAACGCCACGCATCTTGCAGTAAAAGAAAATTAATCAGCGACGTCGTAGAAGCAACAATCTTGACAGGACCTTTCGAAGGTGAAGATGTTCTCATTCCTTACATTCCTATCATTCTAACAGATATTCCATTTCAATTTAAGAGATTGTAATTTCCAATTCGATTGGTGTTTGCAATCACCATCAACAAAGCTCAGGGTCAATCTTTAGAATTGTGCAGTATATTTCTAGACACGGAATGCTTCTCACATGGACAATTATATATTGCGTGTTCTGGAGTCGGCAAACCAGACAATCTCTATATCTCCACAGACAATGAAACAACAAAAATATTGTATACCCACAAGCATTGTGAAATTAAACATATTAGAAACGTGCGCTCTCTTTTTTTCTTTCTTTCCCATTTAACCAGACTGAGCTACAGCAACGCGTGGCGGGTACTGCTAGTATGTATATAAAAACCCGCTCGGATGCGAATGGAACATTGTGTGAAAATTTCAAAGCAATCGGTGTAGAACTTTCGGAGATTAGCGATTTTGAACAAACGAACATTTCCATTTTTATTTATATAGATTAATGCCATTGATGTAACAAGAAATCACTGCCAACCGCTCTCCCTCAATTAGTAGTTCCTCACTGGAGTCAAAGTCACTGGCACAGCAAGAACTCCATTTGCTCAAATTACATTTTCTTAGCTTGCTACGTACCGATCCTCCACTGATCAGAACTAACACTCAGTATGTTAGTGTTCGAAGACTGTGGAGTAATCACCTTGCTGTGTTTCTCCATACTGCTGTTCACGCACCACCGGGCCTGTAGACTATGGTTCTCAGCCAACGACTTCCTCCCAGCCGCACCTAGATCCTGCAGTCAAAAATGTTGTCCATGATTAGGTTCTAGTTCTTGAAAAAATCTTTAAAATCTTCCTCTTGAAGATCAACGGGATATCGTTTTATGCTATCTCAGTGCCCTAGGCTCCGTATATTGGCCTGACAAGATTCATAACGAATATCCCTCGTCACTTGGGAGTGGCCTGAAGTACATTCACCTCTAATGACCTCATGAATGACAGTGACGTCCTCTGTACAAACGAACCGTCTTGCAGCTCCCTGTCATCAATCACATGACCCCAGATCACACATTGATTGGCAGGTTCATGCTAACTCCAGCCAATCATGTTGAACACGAGCCTCTAAACTTCCGATTTAGAACTTGTCTCTGGCTGCCAAAATTCTTCAAAGAATAACTATGATTGCCATGTTTGAAATATGACGAGCTGGGCCATAGTGCTGTAAACGTAAAAAGAATGCATCCTATTGGTATGTAATTTTAAAGGTGCTCTGTGCCATACAATTTTTTTCCAAATGTCAGAGTATGACTCTCGACAGCGGAAAAAGTAGTGTTACGTTGAAAAAACATACCTTTCAATGTGCTAAGAAAAAGATTGCTGCATGAAGAGATTTGTTAAACAACAATTGCGACCAGGTGAACGATTGTTGACAGTGGTAGGAACTGTCACCTATCCAAAGGTTTAGTTCAGTCAAACTATTTAGGAAAGGGTGAATGTGTTAGTATATTCTGAATTGATAGTTATGTCCGTAAGGATTTCTGAGCAAACTATCTTTTTTTTTTTACAAAACAATAAACAAATATTCACTGGTGAAGAAAAAAAAAAGTTGTGGAAGGCTAAAATCGTCCAGTTAAGAAATACAAGAATCCTGAAGAATTTTGATACACGAGATTTAATATACAGGATCCTTCCACAGGAAATTTTAAGAACGAAGACATCCTTCGTTTTGAATATTGAAAGAACAATTATTCGAAATCCTCTAGCCTGAAAATTTTGAGTCCAATGCGAGACAATGGAACTCAAATTTCCTCGTCTAAAACGTAATGCCACAAGATTTGAAATGATTTCCTATGCCAAAAACAATTTTTGTATGTGTTATGGTCACTATGGGTCGCAACCGGGTTCTTTGCTGGAGGAACCAAAGTACTAGTATCCGACCCCAAATCGGTAGTGGCTTTCAAGGAGTAGGCTTGGTAGTGTAAATAAATATAAAAACAAGGGGGGAGTTGATAAAGGATGAAGTGTCGTATTCCTTTCAATATATTCACATATCACTTTCCCATCACCTTAAATAGAATCATAAACGAAGTATTACTACACTAATATACACATGTGTCGCTCTTATAGGACAATAGACTCCTCGATGCTCATGCAATGCAGCCTTGTCAACTTCCGTGTTTCCTCAACACACTGTACCGTCCTCAACCAGTACTGGGAAACACCAATGAGTCTACCTTAGCCATGGGGCCAGCCTATCTACAGTCCCACTAGGTGCTCCTTGTGAACGCCCACAATCACTCTCCAGCCTGGTGCTGGCAGAGAACATCAGCCTCGCGCTGCTGGGCCTCTACACGAACAGATACAAGGGTAGCGAACCCCTGGCAGGAGGTTCTTGCAACTAGCTAGTTACTCTCCTCCGTAGCATCTCACTGTCGGTCGTCTCTTCCTCTTCCTCTAACCAGTCGCAGGATACGCCGAATTCTGTCACTTCACAGGCAAACAGCAGATATTACTCAGTTCCTCTTCGGTGGCGGTTCACTGCTCACGTAAAGTAGAATGGAGTAGAGAGATAATACGCTGCCCTGGGTAGACTACCTGATTCCGAACCCCCGCAACCCTACGGCGCCTCTGTGGATACAGACATGTCATCAGTAAACTGGCCGGTACTTGTGAAACTAGGACATACCATTTATGGACTCTGACATTAACATATAACAACTCTCACAATAGATGGCACTGATTTCTAGGCGCCACTTCACCAGAGGTCAGCAACAGCGACTCTTCAGGCTGACCAAGGCAGGAATCTAGCGTCACTTGCAGGTATCATACTGCCACCACCAGATGGCGACGTCTATTTAGTGGGGGTTTAGAGGAACAGACTCACAGATGGCGTTGACGTCGCTTCTCCATACTCTGACGATGGAGTCCGGTTCGTAACAGTATGAAACGTTTTGACCTCAGGCCAACTTGAAACTTTCAGATCTGATCATTTTTGGCTAATATTTTTTTTTCATTGAAACCTCCTGGTATGACACCATTATCTCCTTTTGATCTCTTTTTGAATGGGAACAAATAGTTTAACCTGAGATCTTCAGGTGTAAAATGTTCTGAAGTGATGAACCTGACGAATCTTATATTTGTAACCTGATGTGTCTTACATTTGTAACCTGACATATCTTACATGTGTAATCTGATATATCTTACATTTGTAACATGACGTATCTTACATTTGTAATCTGACGTATCTTACATTTGTAACCTGGCGTATCTTACATTTGTAACCTGACGTGTATTACATTTGTAACCTGACATATATTACACTTGTAACCTGATGTATCTTATATTTGTAACCTGATGTTTCTTACATTTGTAACCTGACATATCTTACACTTGTAACCTGATGTATCTTATATTTGTAACCTGATGTTTCTTACATTTGTAACCTAGCATATCTTACATGTGTAACCTGATATATCTTACATTTGTAATCTGATGTATTGTGAAGTATGAGACAGTTTTAACTGATGTTTTGAGATCGTACATCACCTTCTACAGTGTAATATTTCTTTACATGATCTTATTTTAATTTTATTATTTCAACATATATCCTAATAAATATAAATGCCGGCGATTAGGAATTATTTGGGCTGAAACCTCTTCGTATCAAATTATGAACTGAATTATCACTGAAAACGCGCACTGGTAAAATATATTTTAATTTTAGAGTTTCGTTACTTTGATGCAAACTGAGGGCCCCCTGAGTGCTTCGTGTTTCAGTGTTTCTTATATGAGACTTCTAAAATAATGACTTATTAGTCAAAACGTCTATTCACATCAAATCCCCAGAAACGGCACCTGTGGTATGAGACCTTCCATGTAACTAACTAGTAAATTCCCTTAATACTTGTTTTTGCCCATTTGATCTCATGCATATTTACTTCAACCCTCTGATCTTTGGCACAATTAAGACTGAGATCTCCTGGCCTGTGGTCCTTTATTTTGTGAACTTCAGAACTAATATATATATATACTCCCAGGTAAACGCACTACCGACTAAACTATGATGAGCCTAACAGTATCCCTACCGTATCCCAAACCAGATAGTGCATTCCGCGAGTTTTGGAAGTACTTTTGGCTTAGATTCTTTGGTGCTCCTCACCGACTAAATATTGCAATATCTAACCAGAAACATCGAAGCCTTAGGTATTTTAGCCTTAACCAATCACCAAGATATAAAGACTTGAGAAAACTTGGATCCAGAGGTCCATATTTTACACCTGGACTCTGCCCTTACTATGTGAGACCATAATATTGGAAACCTTTAAGCATGGGATCTTTTGAAGAGATTCATTTTGAAACTAAGATTTCTTAGCCTAAAAGTTCTTGATTTGAAATTTTCCACATGAATCTATCTGGACTGATTACTTATAGAACGTCACTAGGAATGAGATGCACTTATTCTTAACTTTCTCACATGTGGCAATTAATGTTAGAAGTCTTTTCTAGCCATATCGCTCAAGACTTTCAGACTAACAGTAAAAATTGGAATTCGTTGTCCTGATTAGTTTATTTCCAAGGATTTCCAGTGTGATAGGCTAAAATGATATTTCCTTAAAATTTGTTGAATCGAGTGTTTCTTCTACTTCTAATAAGTCTTGAAATTTACAGGTACCAAAGATCCTGTGTTGGACATGGCTTTGCTGTCCCTCGGAGACCACCACGTGATAACGTACGGAACCTATGGCTTCGTCAGTGCCTTCCTTGGTGCAGGCATCATCGTCTACCCTGACAATAAAGACAGGCCTGTTTTTCCCTGTTTAAACTCTACGATCTTACAATCGATATCCAGGAATTAGCTCATATCATCAACCAGCTGTTTCATTAGGAACATATGCGTTTTAAATGGAACATTGAATCATTAGTGATTTCATGCAATGCCTTATCCAGTAAATAGATACATAAAAATTAGATTCGTCTAGCTTTTTGTTAGGGTTCGCTTTCACTTTGATGTCCAAAGGGTTTGGAAAGGTTGAGGGAGGTAGAGAGATGGGGAAGGGAAATTATGGAAGAGGATGCGGGAGTAGAGAGAGAAAGGAGGTTTGAAAGTTCGGTAGCCTGTTCACCATGGGTTGGCATATATGTGTGTAACGTTTGTTTGGGTATGTGTTACGTTGGGTTGTCAGTACATTGGCTGGGTGACTAGTGTTTGTGTCCTAGCTGGTGTCTGGAAGCCCTAGAGCCGATGGAGTTGGCTGCAGGAGATTAATCTTAGTAACATCAGGTGGTTACTCATCTGGTAGCACAATTTTTTTTATTTATTTATTTATTTATTTATTTATTTATTTATTTTTAGGTATAATAAAAAATACCTAATCCGGGTCCGGGATGGACCACTATCTGGGTCATCTGGCAGACCACTTAATATTTGAGGTCTTGGGAAGGTCTGATCATGGATGTGTCTGGTCACTTTTTATTGGAGAATGATTAACAAATCAACAAATCCACAAGGGCCGTGACGAGGATTCGAACCTACGCCCAGGAGCATCCCAGACGCTGCCTTAATCGACTGAGCTACTACATGGTCAAAAGAGCTGAAACCGAAGTTCTACTGTCTTACTGGATCCTGCAGCCACTCCGAGACACAAACCAGGGTTTTACACAACTCCTCCATGCACTCGAGCTATGTCAGTAGGCCGTTCTCCCTCTTCACCCTTAACTCATTTACCGACCCATCCTCAGATGGGTCGGTAAAAAAAAAACTCTTTTTACTAGGATTGCCACCCCCCTGTTGATTTCCCTAGTGGAATATCTCCAAAGAGAGATGTGCTGGTCCAGTCGAGCTGCTGTTTCATTGAGTAAAATAATGTCTGGCAACCTCCAGGGTGAAGAGGTATCTGTTGTTGAAGTAATGTCTGTTATTCACTTGAAGGAATGTGATCCCCATTATTGGTTGTGTGCAGTATGTGTTTGTTTGGCTCGAGTGCCAGTGTTTGTTAACTTCGGTTTGGCTTCTGATGTGTGTGAGGGTGGAGGACAGGTCTTTTGGGCCAGGGATCACGTTTTCGGATCCGATAGAAGGTTGGGTGGGGTTTTCCGCACGTTGCCGTGCAATTGGGGTATCTTCGTGGTCGCTATTGTTCTCTATGTTCACGTCTGTAGTGCTGGAGTCACTCTCAGATGGAGTATTAGGGGGAACACCTGCCCTTACCCTGTCCTTAGGGGATGAGCTGATACGAGTGTTGGCCCTGCGCCTCTTGGAACTGCAGTGTGTTGGACTGCAGTGCGTGGGGCGCTGTATGCATCCAGGGTTTCTTATGACAAGAGTGCGTGTGATGGCACTGACTATAATATTGTTAGTTGGGTCTACTGTAGTAATTCTCGAACTGGGTGTTTGCCAGGCTACCGGGATGGAGGGGCCGCGGTGATTCTGGGAGTTTGGTGTCACTTGGATGTTGGCTGTGGCCAGGAGGTGGATAGTACTTAGGAGGGGGGGGGGGTGCATGGGCCTGGTCGGCGGCTGTTGTGCTGTGTCAGATAGGCGAGCGAGTCCGCGGACATGTGGATAGGGGACAGGCCATTGCCCTTCCTGAGTGAGTTCCAGAATCCCAGGACCTTCACCGGGTTGTGTGGAAATGCAAATTGGGCAAATGCTAAGAGTTCCGCTCCTAAGCTGGGTTTAGGATCGGGATTTGTTGCGAGTGGGTTAGGTGTTGAGGCCTGCTGCGGTTGGTTCTGGGGTTTTCCAGGTATAACCGTGAGGTCAATGGGCTGTTGGTTGCTTTGATGTTCCTCTTGGGCGACCGACTGGGCCTGCCACCCTGGGAATTGTGCTTGTTGTTTGTTGGAGTCACGCAAGCGTTTATTGGTGGAGGAGGGGCAGGAATGGTGGTTGCTGCTTGTTGACGAGCAGCTGTCACAGTTTCTTGTGCTTGCTTCATTGCATCCTGTCTATGAGAACATAGGTGGGAGATTGCAATGTGTGCACCATTGCACAGTGCACACTTGGTCATTGGGCCTGTGCATTCTTTGTAGTTGTGTTCCCCTGCACACCTGCTGCACTTGGGAGTTTCAATGTTGCATGGATTGAAGTAGTAGTCATACTGGAAGCATTTGAAACATTGAGTTTGTGAAACCTCTGTAGAATGATTTGGTCAGGGTCAGACTTGATGCCAAAGACAGAGAAGCCTAAGTTGCAAGCTTGTGTTGCTTGCTCCGGTGAGGCCAGCGTTAGCTTCAGAACTTGGTTGTTGTGGGATTTCGTTTTGAACCTGTGTGCCTGAATTACTTTAAAATTCCTGTTTTTAATTAGAATTTCTGCAGATATCTCATTTGAGTGTTTTTCACCCTTAACTTGTGTTCCGTAATTCTGATTCATCAAAATGGCAAAATTTATATGGCATGTTAATATCTAGTGTTACTCAACTGGCATGTATATGGCATGTTAATACCTAATGTAACACTCAATGGCCACAGTGAGTGTTAAAACTTTGGCCTCGGCATTGATGTCCTGTAATTGGTGGGATTAAGAATATTACAGCTATTGACTTGAGCAATGAAGTGATAATGTTAAGGCTTCTAATCAGATTTATTTATTTATGTGACACTATAAAAAATAAATTATTTGAAGACCACATGTATTTTACTGTCTTATTAAGGAATAATAATTTTAAAACTTATTACTCACACCACCATCCTGAATCACTAGTGCATAGTGAGATATACCACAATAATCACATGCAGCAGTTCTTTCATCCTTTTCTCGTAACTCATGCCTCTTAGTTCTGGGACTAGCCTAGTGGCATACCTCAAAACGTTTTCCAGCTTCGTCTTGTGCTTGACAAGGTACGGGGTCCAAGCTGGGGCCGCATACTCCAGGATTAGTCTTACATACGTGGTATACAAAGCTCTGAATGATTCAATAAACAGGTTTCTGGAGGCAGTTCTGAGGATAGCCACCTTCACACATGCCGGCGATGTTATTCTTTTGATGTGGGTTTCAGGAGACAGGTTTGGTGAGATATCAACTCCCAGATTTTTCTCTGTCAATTTCACGAAAGATTTCATCTCCCATTCGGTATTGAGTGTCTGGTCTCCTATTTCTTTTCCCCCTAGTTTCATTACCTTACATTTACTTGGGTGGAATTTAGTAGCCATTTGTTTTAGTAGTACTTCTTTCTACTTGTTTAGTAGCCTAGAAAATATTCTATTCGTTTATAATGGTTTGTCAGGAGAGTGAGCTCCTTCCTCTCTGAAAAAGCTGCCACCCACGTCGTCACCACCATAAACGAACAGAATCCTTTAAGTCAGGGCACCACTGCGGTCCGAAATCGCCACAGAACCGGCATCATCCGGCAACGACAACGTACGCCCCCCGTACCGAAGGAGGAAGACCCGGTACTCTTCCTCCCTCACGAACTTAATAACAACCCGGTGGGCCGTAACAAGCTCCACGCCGTAAATAGCCACCACCGGGATATGAAGCATGTCACACATCACCATCTCGATGGTCGTATAACCAGACTTACAAGTGAACTCCAGGCCCACGGAATTCACATGCACAACAGGAGGAAGATGGCTTCCCCATGTCAGAACCGCCACGTCAACACGCAGCCAGGCAGGCAACAAAACTGGGAGGGCAGAGATTCCCACACCACCTGGCAACCAAAACGGCAAACAACCCCAACAGCCACGGAGGGTCGGTAAACATCCTCACTCCACAGCTGCTAGCAGTCGACTCGCCACTGAGTCCTCCGCGACCGTGAGTAAACAATAACACTGAGCCCGGATATGCTTGTGAACGAAGGCTGAATCCGTGAGTTAGTAACTTCCTCCTCACTTCTATTATAATCACAAAAATACTGAATACTCCTAATTCTGATATAGAATATCCAGAAAAAAATAGTAAATGCAAAGAAAATCGATGGTACAACCTTAGTGGTAAGTGGAAACGCCAACTGGTGGGAGGGACGCCAACTGGTGGGACGGACGCCAACTGGTAGAGCAGACGCCAACAGGTGGTGTGGGACATTTGGGGCTTGACTCTATTTATTTAATTAATAATGTAATGAATTCAATTACGAAGGACCACCTGCTTTTATAGTAAAGAGGGAAACTAATAAAATGTGATCATTAGAAAATTCCTAGAGGAACCAGTAACTATGGATAAATACTAGAGAATATAATCACTTATATAATTAATGGGCTGTATATAATTTAACTGAATCAAAGCCTCAAACACCTACATTGGGGGGGTATTACTAGAACATCATATATGTCTAGGAACTAGTGTGGTTCGTACACCAGTTCATTATGTAATAACCTAATCCTATGACCAATTATAGAATCAATAAAAATGTCACCAATAAGAACATAGACTATGCATATCAGAAATTAAAGATTATAATAAACATGTGTTAAATCCAGTGAAACAGTGATCTATGGTAATAATTAATCACAGATAATTTAATTAATGGAATACGGAAAAGGGTCTTAGCTTGAAGACGTTTTCCCAGACATCAGTCATGAATCATCCTAGGAATCTCCTGAACTCATCATGGAACACTGGGAGATGATTAACACGGGCAAGTAACAGCTCGGGGAAGTCTTCACACGCAAGCTGTAAATCAAGATATATTCAGTAGCAACATATTAGGCTGCTAAATATCTATGTTCAAGAAATTGGTGATGGAGAGTGAAAACAGATAATAACCTGTATTTTATTTTAGTCGCTCGGCGTGACGACAAGCTACCCTGCTATAACCTATCTCTGATGATGCATCAAAAGGGAATAAAGGTACTTAGCTAATAGGGCACTGTGTAAGTTGAGGCTTGCCGAAGCTCGCGTCCTAGGTTCTGGCGTCGTAATAACGAACACGTGGCGTCGAGCCTAGCCTAGATGTCGACGCGCTTCTCTGGCCGGTCACATTGGGCTACACGGAACAAATTAACAGGTTCCGGGCTGAACGTCAAGTTAATTCTCGTTGACGATTCACCACGATGTATCCTGTGACACTGACACCAGCTAAGTTGCTATATTCTGCAACAATTCTTCACACCTCACAGTGGCGACTTTCCTCCCTCGTGGACGCCTACACATGCTCTCGGTGGCGTCTGCTCGATTAATGGCGTCTCCTCTGCCCGCCTCGTCTCGCATTTGATACACAAATTATTTACTACGAATAATATCATTTCTCGCAGTTGCGACTGAAATGCTTGGATAATGACGGGTTTATTATTCAGAGGAGTTAAATATTATTATTTGCTCGTTTTACGATGGTAAACGAGCAATGGAGATGAATTTAATGCTCTCCCTGGCATTCACGCGTGACGTTAAATTTATTGCCAGATAACAGTTGTAACTAGAAACGCTCTATTTGGCATTATTTGGGAGTCAGGTTATCGGTAAATAATCATCACTCAGAACACTGTTGGTTTTAGAGAATCAAACTCAATTCTCTGACACACTGGATATAGATGTGTTTATTATGGTGGAATCTGACGCAATACTGGCGTCTGGTGACGTAAGAATTCTAGCATTATTGTACAGATACAATTATTAATACATGTGAACTCTACGGTTGGTTAATTTTAGTTACTACAGTGATTAGTAGATTTAGTAATGATTAATAATAATACAACAGTGTTGTATTAGTGTTGGAAATTTCCAACAGGTGGGGCGGGCTGGCAGCATGTAGGAACAAGTATGGCCGCGACGTGGCTTGGTGATGGGATCGTCTTGAAAACAATGAATATTCACCAAAATTCACAAAAAATAGAGAAAATTGCCAAAAATAGAGAAAATTGATACTGCAAAAGGGGCAAAAAATCTGGGAAATGAATCTAACGTCGAGAAACTTGCTGGATGCAAGAAGGTTGTAGAACACTCTTGAATCAGGAACAGAGATATGACGAAGTATATAAAATCACAGGGAAATGCAAGAAATGGGAAATAAAGCACAGATACTGGAATCAGGAATCACAATATCTCAGACAACGCAGCTGGAAAGCATAAATCAAGTCCTAGCAAACTGGTGAACATCTAAGGTGCGACCGACGACAGTAAATTTTACTGTAATGTTGAACACGAAGTCTCAATCACATGCAGCAGGATAATGATGCGTACAGCATTGCGAGTTCCTCTTGATCACCGTGTAGGCCGATTACTCTCTGCGCCAGTGTGGAGGCGGTCACCTAGGGTTATGGCCGACCAACCACGTGGTAATCAACATACACAGAAATGGGCATAAAACGGGAGACAGTTGCTCACCTTGAGCTGGAGTCTTCTCACAGGAGGGCTGAAGCAATACGACGGCTTCTAGGGGCGAGGATGGGCGAGGTCCAATGGTAGCTGGCCAATATAGGTGCTGGATAACCACCGTCCAGGGAGGGTCACTAACAGGCCCTTCTGCGGTCAGGTGCAGTTCTTCTCTGGCCTCCCTCTCGCCTTCACGCATGCGCGCGGGTGATGCGCAGACGCACGGCGTCGGACTGCCGCCCACCAATCAGGAGCGGTTAACATAAGAAATATTCCCTGGCAGGCATTTTGAATGTGGTTCCCTCCACAGTTACATTAGGAATAATTGGAGCTGGTGGGGGATGAAAAATGGCAGAAGGCGTGTTGACAGAGGCCAGGTGGGAAGCAATGGAAGTTGTAGTGTTAGAAGTGAGATTGAAAGTGGAGGGAACAATGCTGGAAGATGAGGGTGAGATTACTTGAGACATGCATGAGTCAGTTTGGGATAGTTTAGGGTCTGCCGTCTGCTGTGTGGTTCCGTTTTCTGTAGCGGTCAGAATTGGGTCTGTAGGAAGTTGTTGGGGTACTGTGGTAGTTTCCTCAACTGAAGTCATGGTGTTTTGTGGAGTGAGGACTGTAGTTGAGAATGGAGCAGAGCGCAATAGCTGAGTAGGAGGAACAGAGATACTAGGAAGACCGTTGTGAGTGAGAAAGATAGGAAGATAGTCGGCAAAGTCACGGCCATCGTCCTTGGCCTTCAAGTAAGAAGCTTGTACACAGGCGGTGACTCGTTCATATGAAAGGTTCTGAAGAGGAGAATAAGGTGGAGGTGGTGGGTGAGGGAAGAGAGGTGGAGAGGACTGAGTTTGTTGTGCAGTATTATGGAGATGATGTTGCTGGTGAGGTGAAGCATTAAGGACACTGGCATAGGACATGGAGAAGGCTGATGCTGTTTGGTGATGAGATGGGTTATGGGAGGTTGAAGAAGAATGAGGGTGTGCATGAGTGCGAGGTTGGTTATTGCGAAGAGGTTTTAGGGTTTGTTTTCTCAGAGGGCAAGATTTGTCAACTGCTGAATGAACACCTTGGCATTTAATGCATTTTAAGGTAGTGCCAGAGCACTGAGTATAAAAATGGCCTTCTGCAGAGCATTTAGAATAAATCTGTGGGCTTTTACATTTTCGAGTTTCGTGACTGTATTTGTAACATTTGAAACATTGCAGCAAAGGAAGATAGTCGACTGGACTAATGAGATAGGGAGGAGTGCTGGTGCTGAGGATTTTTATCCCTTGGTGCAAGAGTTTTTGAGCTTCTGTAGGGGAGGAACATTGGATTTTGAGGTGTTTTGTATTGGACACTGGGTATATTTCCATTACAGTAATAGCATTCCTGTGTGAAAT